GAGAGAGAGAGAGAGAGAGAGAGAGAGAGAAACAGGGCAAGAGACCTGTAGGGCTAATACACACATCTTACCAATGCAGTCATGATTGGGTCCAATTTTAAAACCTCTGTGACACTGGCAACGGAAAGAACCCATAGAGTTGATACAAGTTCCGTTGTTGCAGATGTTTGGTGAACGAACACACTCATCAAGATCAATGCAAGAGGAACGGTCAGCTGTCAGTACATATCCTGAGTCACAAATGCACTGGAAGCTTCCCTGGAAATTATTGCACACACCATGTTGGCATACACCTCCTTGCTCACATTCGTTGATATCTGAAAAAGAGAGATTGTCCCATGAAAATCACTTCTCAGTGCCAAGTTCAGTGTTTCTCTTCTTCTAAACAAAATCAGTGAAAATATCATACAACTTACCAACACAATCATTAGTAAGTCTGTTTATCTTGTAACCTGTCGGACAAGAGCATCGGTAGCTTCCCAAGGTATTCTCACACTTGGCTAATCCTTGACATGGAGTTAATTCTTCGCACTCATCAATATCTGTACAGAAACAAAACAAACATTAGTTTAATCATTCACAGCAATACAATTGTTTAGCATATCATGATTTAATCAAATCACTTTATCTTCTCAGTATTAAAAAAAAAAAAAAAAATCAAGCAGGACACACTTACCAACACACATATGACTTGGCTCATCATAACGAAATCCATGGTCACATTCGCAGCGGAAAGAACCCATGGTGTTTATACATCGTCCATTTTTGCACATCATGTGACCCATCAACTCACACTCGTCAAAATCTTCAAGTGTACCTGTTCGAGGATTGAATACCGTCCCTTGCTGACCTATATCATGTCTCATATCCCCATCTCTGTCTGAAGTTACAAATCGATCATCTCCATCTCTGCCACGTCCAAATCCATCATCTCTGTCACCTGGTCTATATCTGCCATCTCTATCTCTGTCACGTCCAAATCCATCATCTCTGTCACCTGGTCTATATCTACCATCTTCATCTCTGTCACGTCCAAATCCATCATCTCTGTCACGTGGTCCACCTCTGCCACCTGGTCCACCATATGTGCCACCTTCTTCTAAGGTCTCATCATATCCAGGTTCTCCAGGTCTCCTATAACCGTCTTCTCCAGGGCCAACTCCCACCCGCCCTCCCCCAGTTAAGCTTGGACCTACCATGCCTGAGTAGCACAGTTCCATATATTCTCCTGTAAAACACAAAATGTAAATTATATCTTTACACATATGATCCAAAAGGTGAATATATGACATGGTATTTAGTTTGAGCTGACAAAGCTAAAAGGAAGGAAGTTAAAGAGGGAAACTTACTTGTGCCTTCCCTTGGACATGGTTCACAGTTAGCACCCCATGCTTTTCCCTGGGAGCAGCAGCATTTCATCCTTGTGATATCCATTCTCATTGGAAGGGAACATACTCCATCTTCATACTTTGTGAAGCATGTTTCAACTCTCATATCCACACACTCAACCCTATTGGGTAGTAAACTGAAATCTGGAGGGCACTCACACTCAAATCCTCCAATTGTGTTAATGCAGTGACCATTTTTACACTTTGTATGATCAGCACATTCATCAATATCTGTAAAAAAAGTATGCTTGATAAAGAAAATTCTTTTGTATACACAAAACATGATAAAACAAAAATTAATTGTTTCAAACATCAAAATCTTTATTGTCACATACCTACACATAGAGTGCCTCCACTGTTCAAGGTGTAACCTCTGGCACAAGAACACATGAATCCACCAAATGTATTGGAGCATCGGCCATTCCCACAGAGGTTCTCCATCTCTGCACATTCATCAATATCTTCCAAGATGACCTGGAAAAATGGAAAATACTCTGAATTCAAATATAAATATAAACAAATGAATATATATATATATATATATA